GCGTCATCGATCGGCCACGTTCTGGGCGTTCACGTGTAACAACGCCAAGACAGGACATATGGATAAGGGTGACCCATCTTCGCCACAGGTTTCAGACTGCAGTGATGACTGCCCGAACCATCCCAGGACTTCGCCGTATCCACCCCAACACAGTTCGACAATGTTTACGGCATCACGGGATCAGACCACGATGTCCCGCCATACGGCCTATCCTGACACAACTTCATCGACAAGCTCGCCGAATGTGGTGCCGAAATCATGTCCGCAGACCCTTGTTTTGGTGGAGAAATGTTGTTTTTACAGATGAGTCCAGGTTTAACATTTGGACGTCTGCGTACCTATAGACGCGTGGGAGAACGTTATGCACAGGCCTGTGTCTTGGAGAGGAATCGCTTTGGTGGTGGTTCCGTGATGATTTGGCGGGGAATAACAGCACGCCAAAGAACTCCTTTGGTGATTGTTCTGGGCACTTTAACTGGTGTGGGATACAGGGATCAGATTCTTCAACCTGTGGCAATTCCTTTTCTGCAACGTCATGGCCCTGGGTTAACATTCCAACAGGACAATGCCCGCCCTCATACGGCAAGGGTTGCTATGGATTTCTTGCAACACCACAACGTTGACTTACTACCTTGGCCCGCAAATTCACGGATCTCTCCCGATAGAGAGCATGTTTGGGGCCGAGATGGATCGGCGTCTCGCCGTCTTCCTCATCCGCCAGATAACGTCCTTGACCTTGCAACAGAACTTGAGAGAATCTGGCGTGACATCCCACAAGCCTTCCTTGCACGTTTGATAGGCTCTATGTGTCGTCGATGCACTGCTGTTTGACTCAATGCTGATGGTGGACATACCCGTTATTGAGCTTGTGACATGGTCGTTTGACCCCTGTCTCACTTGTGGACTCGTGACGTCATTGTGATTGACTTTTCAATTGAAATTCTCCCGACTTGTTATGGTCTCATGATCCCTCCATGAAAGTTTATATGTACCTTTGACATTGTTATCGTACTTATCAACTGGGATAATACTTTGACAATGCACAGTTTCTTTATGTGGCTAGTATATATGCATATATAATAGACCAAAATATTGTCGAAAAAGCATGACAATGTGCCTTTAAGAACTGAAGTTGTATGTGATGATGTTTATCAACTGATGAAGACAAATGCCTCACCTGAGCAAATACAACTGTAAAATACGGACTTCTGTAACTCTCTGCTTGATTGACAGCGAAATCAAGCAATATGCTGACCTCCATTGGGAAATGAGTGACTGCTAGCCTGATAATATTCATGGACACAAGGTCACCTGCTGCTCTCAATAAGTTTGTCTGCTTTTTTTGCCAAGTCAAAGATGATTTTGTCAAAGAAATCTCAGTGACCAACTCGATACCCTCACTCACTCGCAAGGAACCCCCCAAATATTCTCAAAGATTCAGAAATAGAGTTTTCTTTTGTTTGTTTCTCATTTAACCCTGCACTTACCAATATTCCAGTGATAGTGGCTACAGTCCGTAAATAACTGAGTCTGGACCAGACACTCCAATGATCACAGAAGTAGAGTGATTGTGGAAGATCCATGGAATAGACTCTTTATCTCTTGTATTTTGAGGAGCTTGGTATCAAGTGATTGATCCATCTGCTAAATCATGATCAAACTTGCCTTTATATCAAGTACACATGACTTTTTGATAAGAAGTGCTATAACAGCATTCACTAAAGAAACTGTTCACTTGCTTAGAAACATCACTGTTTATCACTTTATCAGTTTGATTTTATTTTTGAAATTGCAAGGATGGCAACAGGAAAATCTATTTTCAGCTGAAAATGTAATATTGTGTCATTAAATGGAGGGGTTTGAATTGATCAATCAAATAAAATTAGCGGAAATCCGTGGATCAGTGGAAATCCGCAGATCAGCGGAAAATTGCCATCCCTGATTGGGAGGCCATGCAGATGTCTCAAGTAGTGGTGGTCTGATTAATTGAAATCAATGAAGAGCAATCGATCATGTTTTGTCATAATCAAACACAAACAATTTTGGAACACTTGTTTGCATGAACAATACTTTTCACAAGGTTGGTTTTGTCAGTTACATTTCATAAGCACTACAAGCTCGTTCAAGTCATGATTGAAATGATCTCCAGGAAATTTGTGTTACTAACATACTAGTCATCCTTTAGAGAAGAGAAATTTGCAAATGCATTTTGTGCAATTTAAAAACCCTGAAAGAACTACATGATCTTTTAATTTTTTGTGCATTAACAAACAATAACCAGGAAAATTTGATAAATGACGCTAACCAATTATTTTCGATGACTGATCGGTTGGAATGAACCCGTTAAATCATCAATTGTGTATGAACCATCATTGTGGACATGATTGTGATCGTGATTAGTACCTTGTCAATTTCTTATATTTATGCAATTACATAATGCTACACATTGTGTGCAGTTATGTATTATGTATGATTGTGATTAGTAATTTATCAATTTATGTATGCTGAACATAAAAATACAAATGATAGTCCACTTGTGTCTTTCTTGGCTTGGTCATCTCCTGATTTTCTGAGACATGGGGAACGCACATCTACAGTACAAGTATCTGCCTACAGGTCGAGGTGGAAGTTATATGTACAGAATCAGTAAGAGAAAAGCAAATGATTATTGGAGATGTACAACGAAAGATTGCAGTGCCTCAATGAAAATGAAGAATGAAATTCCACTGAGAGTCGACGCAACTCACAACCACCCCAAGTGCCAAATGACATTAAGGTATGCTACCACATATTATCAATTAAATATGTTTTTAATTCCTTTTCATAATGATTGTCAAAATTTACAATAATACCAAACAATACCAAGTGGATGATCATATTTATTCTATAATTGTTATCTATACTCATACCATTTCTTTTTAATTTTAGGTACATGAGACTTTACAGTCAGAGAAAGAAGTACAGAGATCTGCAAAAGAAGGTTGAGGAACTGGAGTGGAAGTTGGATTCCAACCAGATGACTGTATACCAGTATGCGGACAGTGCATCACATGATCTTGATTAGCATGAATTTGAATTTGTACATAAATAAAGTTGACATGTTAGATGATATATTGTACATATTTTAATGATTAAAAAGGACAGTGGTAAAGTGGATTATTGTCCATCCTTCAATAATGGTACAAGTGCTACGGTGATAAACTGTTATTTTGTACACATGTATGAATAAACTGAACATGAACGTTATGGTTGTCGCCTTGCTCTGGGATTAGGGTTGTTGTATAAACACCTCAAACCATTGTTGCAAATTTCCACCCTTTTTGCACGAAGGCGAAAACAAAAAAATGGCCCATGTTTTTACACGTCAAAAACAGTCGCCTTCCTGCGAAGACACCATGTTTGACCTTGCTATCAAGCATGCTGGAGGAATATTTAGGGCTTTGAAAAACAAAACAAGAAATTTGAGGAATGCAAAAGAGACATGATGTCATTAATCAACCCAGCTTCAGCTATATCCTCCCTATAAGAAGCAAGTCAGGATAGTTGCTAATTCAAAAGTTGCTGGTATTGGAAACTTGAAATATGGTTTCATTCTGCGTTTGCAGTTCATTGACAAAAACTGGAGTATTTAAAGTTTTTAGGTATTTCCTACCAGCTACCTCTTTGAAATGGAACTAATTAAATAGATTGATAAGAAACAGCCACCATTATTTATTCAATTTTACTATATTCCATTAACCCAAGTAAAGGATTAATTTCAACACTGATTAATACACAACATTTCAACACTGAAAGGTAAACCTTATAGGCATCCCAGACACATTGGTAATGAAGATGAAAAGCACATGTTTGTGATGGTTGCGTTGACAGTGAGGGAGGGAGTGAATGTTACATAACACTTCAGTCAGCAATATTTAAGCTGTATCACAGGTTAAACCTGTGGTTTATTGCATGACAACCATCTAACTCATTCAGGTATTGCTCACTTGAGTCAGTTTCAGACACAGACCAGCTACTGAGAATCTAGACTTTACTCAAATACCCATGTAGGTGGCAGTGTGAGGCACTGCTCCATGACTGTATTCAATGAAAAGTCCATGTATGTAAAACTACAATAATTCTCACCGACAAGTCTATAGTATATATATGCAAACAGTGCAGGAATGTAGTCTTTTATAGAAAGAATGTCTTCTAATTGTTTGCATAATCTAGGAAGTACACTAAAATCATTGACTTAGAGGCTTGCACTGCTTGAGTGCAGTGAGTGGGGTCACAGAGTACTCTGATGAAGACATAGCCAGTGGTGGTCCAGTCCAGTCTGATTGACCCAGTCCATCACTGGATGATGGTTGGGAGCATCAGTTGATAAGCTCTGACACTGCAACATGATGTAAGACACACTAAGTGTACAGTGCTCAGTTGGTTATACAGATTGATGTGGTTGCCATGGTTACAGGCACATTCCATATTGCCAGCCTGCCTCTCCCTCCCTTCATAACTACCAATGCTGAATGTCAGAGCTGGTGTAGCAACTTGCAGTTTATAAATAAATACAACCTGGTAACAGGCACCACACCAAGGATGTTCCAGCCATCCCTATCTCTCAGTGGCATAGCATTACCAACAGTTCCTGAATAAACAAAGATGCACATCAGGACCTGATGCCTTCATCAAATATACATGTCAGCACCAATCTTGAATTAGATGTATACAGGTATATATAGCAGAGTATAGTGTGAGGATAAAGAATTGAGTCCCTATACACAGAATAACCATATCTAGCAAGGTGATGTAACTTGTGATACAAGGAATGCTGCTCAGAATAAAGGGAGATTTGTTGGAAGGAGAAAAATGTTCCCGGAATGCTAGTGAGAGGCATTTATCCATGTGGTGCTACTAATGGCAGCATGAGATGCATGCACCTCTGACATTCCCTATCTGCACACAATCTGCACCTGAAGCCTCCATCATGGCATAAGTGTGCAGGGGATATAGCTTACCTCGGTAAGACTGGTGGAACACTTCATACTCGGAGTCAGAATCTGCACGACGCTCTGTGTTATTGTCATATGTTTCAATGTGACTGTCAATGTTCTTTCCACAGGATGCAGATCCAAAGTGATTATCAACATCATTTCCACACCTAGCTGGCTCCATGTAATGCTCCATGTTACTACCACACATACTTGGCTCCATGCTACCACCCCACATAGCTGACTCCAGTAGACGCTCGAAGTTGCCATCACATATTGGTGACTGTAAGTGGTGCTCTGTCTTACCACTGCACATTGGTGACTCTATATTACTACTGCATCGAGCTGACTCCATATACCGCTTGATGTTACTACCACTTATTGGTGATTCCCTGTGATGTTCAATGTTACCACTACACATTGGAGCTTCTATGTTGTGATCCACGTTGCCACTTTCCCTTGAACACTCCATGTGGCGCTCTAACTTACCACAGCCAATCAGTGAGTCAATGTCAGCCTTCCTACAACAGACTGGTGAGTCCATGTGGGGCTCACTTTTACCAGGGTAAACCACTGATTCAACACGATGTTCAACACTAGAACCACAAAGAGGAGAATCCAGATATTGTTCCATGCTACCACAAGAAACTGCAGATTCAAGATGGCATTCTATGCTGCCACTACGTATTGGTGGTCCCCGGTGGCGCTCAATGTTACCACCACATAATGCTGACTCCATGTGGCGTTCTTGGTTACCACAAGACACTGCAGATTCAAGATGACATTCAATGCTGCCACTACGTATTGGTGGTCCCCGGTGGCGCTCAATATTACCACCACATAATGCTGACTCCATGTGGCGTTCTTGGTTACCACAAGACACTGCAGATTCAAGATGGCATTCTATGCTGCCACTACGTATTGGTGGTCCCCGGTGGCGCTCAATATTACCACCACATAATGCTGACTCCATGTGGCGTTCTTGGTTACCACAAGACACTGCAGATTCAAGATGACATTCAATGCTGCCACTACGTATTGGTGGTCCCCGGTGGCGCTCAATATTACCACCACATAATGCTGACTCCATGTGGCGTTCTTGGTTACCACAAGAAACTGCAGATTCAAGATGACATTCAATGCTGCCACTACGTATTGGTGGTCCCCGATGGCGCTCGATGTTACCACCACATAATGCTGACTCCATGTGGCGCTCAAAGTTACCACTGGTCCTTGCTGACTCGATATGGCGCTGAATGTTTCCACAGACCACGGGTGACTCCATGTGGAGGTCTACATTTCCACCACACATTACCGGTGACTCTAGATGATGTTCTATGTTGCCCCCACACATCGGGGACTCCATGAGATGTTCAATGTTGGCACCACTCAGAGCCGACTCAATGTGGCGCTGAATGTTTCCACCACTTATTGCTGAAGATTCTACATGGCACTGAATGTTGCTTCCACGTATCGCAGCTTCTATATGGCGCTCTATGTTGGCGCCACACAGTGTAGTGGTCACATGGCGATCCATGCTGCTATCATATCTGACTGCCTCAACACGACCATCTCCTCTGTTGTCACACATGATGAGACAAGAGGAACACCACACCCACTAGCACATCATCACAGACATCACTGCTACTCCAACATGTTACAACTCCTCTTTCAAACCTCGGCTTTGTACTTCTGACATGAAGGGCTAGGTAGATCTGGGTACACAGCTTCCAAAATAGCGCAAGATTGAAATAACCTACAAAGGGCAGAGTGAGCGAGCGAGAGAGAGAGAGGCTACACTGACTGCAGATATCCAACACTGACTGTCTTATCACCTGGCTCCCCCTACAGGCAAGAAGGCTACTTATCATACACACATTTCCTGTCATTACAATCCCATTTAGTTCTGCTTTCAGAAAATGATAGAGCTCACTTTTTAATTATTTCTATTCCTGAGTGTGTAAACTACAGAGCACCTTTAAGTACTTGGCCTGGTGTGGAACCTAATCTAATACCAAGGAGTTGGTGCTGACTTGTTTTTCAAGCAAATGATCAGGATGGTATATGAACTGTATGTAAACAGTTCAAGTATCAGTCAGGGTACAAGTGTTTTCATACTGAAAAAGAAACCTCATTACAAACAGATTGATTGAAAGCTTCATGCTGCCCACTAGATCAGTATGGTGCCTTAAACAGTTAAATTACTTAATACTTTTACAGGCCTACCAAAGAAAACTTTCCCACTGTGCAGAAAAACGTAGAAAAGCCCACATTTATTGTGGAAATAGCAACATAAACATACTACGTCGCTACTGAAACAGTAAAATCTGCAATGAAAGACTATGAAACTGCAACATTTTTATATCAGCAAACTTTGACCTCTACTGCACATGTGCATTATGATCCGCGCTGCTTTCAAACTTTTCGAGCAACCATGAATTGCCTCGCGTAGAAAAAGTATTGAAAATGTCGAAATAATTGCTGTCAATCATTTCATACAAATGGAAAGTAAACTAAACAAGTGTGCACACAAGTATGATGATGATAAATGCCAAATAAAACAACAGAAATACTTTAAAAAGGGAATGGAACTTTTGTCCAAGCTGGAAAATGTCAACGTGTGTTCGAGACTTCCTCTTGCATGAGCGCATGCGCAAAATTGAGGTTGCAGGCTCTTCGTTTTTTTATCCAGTTTTAGCAATTCAAAGTTGCCGTTTTTACTGTTTCAATAGCGAGGTATTATGTTTATGTTGCTATTTCCACGATTAATGTGGACTTTTCTGCGTTTTTCTGCACAGTGGGAAAGTTTTCTTTAGTAGGCCTGTTTTAGGTTCTGAAAAAATGATCAACTGCACTATTTATAGGGTTAGGGAGAAACCATTAATACACTGTCACACTGAAATCAAGGTACCATGAAGAACATCTAAAGTGGCATCATGCTGGGTTTGAAATCCCTTCAATTTCAGTGCTAATGACATGGTCAAAATAAGTTCCTTGAGGCGGAATGGTACACTTAAAAATCAAAATCAATTTCAAAGATTCTCATTTGAAATCACAAATTATGAAGATATGAACACACAAGTGAACTACTATCGGCAGTCAGTGGCTCAATAATGTCACTGTAATCGATTGACTGATGCTCATGATATCCATCACTGGACTGTTTAGTCTACAGAATGCTGTCAGTTAGCTAGAATATTGCTTACAAATCTGCATATTGCGGCATTAAACATTAAACAAACTTTATGCATGGAATGTTTCACAAAATGAAACCAAGCAAAACTTCAAAAACACAACTGCTTACTATCTAGCCCATAGTGAAATGTGGTTCACCCATTTTGTAAATGATATATTTATAAATATTATTGATAACAATATTTATCACATACCTCACTTAAATTGAACATTATTGCTTTTAATTTGTGTCCCCTAGCATAAAAAATAAAGCTTGTCTATCCCTGTCTATTTGCAGTTTGTAGACTGAGTGAGTACAAGTTGTTATAAAACTGACGTCAGCAAAGTTCAAGCCATATCACAGCAGCATTAAATTAATCAAATCTGGACCAGACCAAATTGTGACTGAGAGCAAGAGCATCAGCCAAACCATCGGGAAGCATAAACACACAATCATTGAAGTCCCTGATCCATCATAATCAGCTCTTTCAACCTGTAGTGGGCATGTAGATCTGGTGAGCTGGGGAATGTGGATTGAACACGATAAATCAACATTTCCATATCACCAGTCACTTTCACCAGCTTTACCAATTCCTATTTGGACACCAAATCTCACAAAACACTATCATTCCTGTAATGTTAATGTATTTAAGTAATCAAGGTGGCAATTCCTCTGCACCTAGTTCCCTATCTCCACCTGGTCTATCTTCCCAAAAATACTCACCAATTAAGACATTTTCTAACAATCAAAAAGCTATCGAGGTAAACATTGTACTGAAGGTTTATACAAGGCTCCAGGTGCTGGGGTTGTCTGGCCAGGCATACCAGCCCTGATAATGGTTGTTTATAAACACTTAAGAAACTGCCTCCAAGACTATGTGTTTGGCACTTTGGTTCCAATCCACCTGCCTTCATATATCTAAGTTTTAACTGAGCTGTGCCCCGTTCCACAAAGTAAACGTATCGCTGAGATGATCATAACTCCCATGCTTTAACACAGACTTAAGACAGTTGTAGTGCTAAGATGATCATAACTCCCATGCTTTAACACAGACTTATGACAGTTGTAGTGCTGAGATGATCATAACTCCCATGCTTTAACACAAACTTATGACAGTCGTAGTGCTAAGATGATCATAACTCCCATGCTTTAACACAGACTTATGACAGTTGTAGTGCTGAGATGATCATAACTCCCATGCTTTAACACAGACTTATGACAGTTGTAGTGCTAAGATGATCATAACTCCCACGCTTTAACACAGACTTATGACAGTCGTAGTGCTAAGATGATCATAACTCCCATGCTTTAACACAGACATGACAGTTGTAGTGCTAAGATGATCATAACTCCCACGCTTTAACACAAACTTATGACAGTTGTAGTGATGAGATTGCTGTGTGAAAAGGGCCTCTGGTCTATATATTCAGTGCACAGTCTGCTAGCCAAGCATATAGATGAATGACTGTCTAAGGCTATAGATGGTTGCACCTGCTTTCATGGACAAGCAGTAATATAGGATGTAGTGTGGAGCTTATAGCCTTGCATCACTGAGCATGCTGGTACACCTCCCAGCATTGATGGATTACAACCCTGCAAAAACTCATCATGTTCACTGGCACAGATATTTTGGACATGTTTCTCACTAGTCACTTCTGGGGGGTACTTGTATGTGTGAAAAAAGCTGATGATGCATATAAGATAATGATTAAAACAGTACCATAAACATGACAGATGCTGGAGCATTGAACATAATACCACAATCCATATGTAGCCTATATCTGTTGCTTTAATAGATCATGTTATTATGCTAGGACAGCTGTGTTTACCTAAATCCTCCAGTCAGCATGGTCAGAACAACATGTTCTATTCACTTTCTTCAAATGTTTCTAAAGCAAGTGTCTTTAGTTTAGATATTTCATTGACATCACCAGAATTAACCTCCCCTTTTGTCAGTGTTTTCTTCAAGCTGCCGTGCATGTTGCTGACTCTGATGAAAACATCAAAGCTCAACACAGCTGTCATACTATGCTAATATTCCCAGACCAATCACTTAACACAGGTTTCTGGAATAATCAATATCATATTACATACAACAGATGTTAGCAACACATAATCACAATTTTCCCACAAGAACAGGTACAACGCGTAACTCTACCTGTGTGCTTTGTGATACTCCTCTATTGGATCACGAAGTCAACAGAGAAATATATCAGGAATATAAAGATTGACTCCAACCAGCTGTGATGAAAAACACACAGCTTCTTCCTTACGTGACATTGGTATTTTGTAGAATTGTCTAGGCTGACAATTCTCCTCGCAGATGGAAACATCACAGGGAGCATTAGTTAGGTCTGCGTACTATCTGATAGATTTGAATGTGACTTTGCTGTCAATGGCACTGCTGACACTTTCAAAGTGACTGAAGTTTCGACTGTTAAATTTCAGTCACACCAACAGTAGACTGAGTAGCAGTATCAGGTATGGCAATAGGAAAATCTATTTTAAGCTTAAAAGTTAATATTGTGTCATTGAATGGGTTCAGGGTTTCTCAGCGGATTTAGAAGATTCACAGAATTGATCAATTTGAAATAAAATTGGATCAGCGGAAAATTGCCATCCCTGCAGTATGTAAATGAACATGTTTGCTTTGTGCACAGAGCCACACAGGTTCCTGCTGTAGGAGTACAGAGACAAACCTTTGTGCACAGAGCCACACAGGTTCCTGCTGTAGGAGTACAGAGACAAACCTTTGTGCACAGAGCCACACAGGTTCCTGCTGTAGGAGTACAGAGACAAACCTTTGTGCACAGAGCCACACAGGTTCCCGCTGTAGGAGTACAGAGACAAACCTTTGTGCACAGAGCCACACAGGTTCCTGCTGTAGGAGTACAGAGACAAACCTTTGTGCACAGAGCCACACAGGTTCCTGCTGTAGGAGTACAGAGACAAACCTTTGTGCACAGAGCCACACAGGTTCCTGCTGTAGGAGTACAGAGACAAACCTTGTGGTGAGGGTTCCTCATTCCAACATCTGTTCTCAGGTGCCAAGATCAGCCGTTTCCCAGACACGCCCACCCAACCAGTTCTTGTCTTCATTATCCAAGGCATTTCCCAATGTTTTGAATTTGTAAGTCATGTCTCTTTCAGAAACAGAAAATGTCTTTGTGACCAACCTTGTCAACCATATACCTCAGTAAGCCAGACACAAAATTGCTGTGAGTGTTACCAGGATGTATTTTGCCATCAGCTATTTGTTTCTTGTAAATAAGATAAGCCAACCAATAATCAATTCAACACACACCAAGCACATCGCTGTTTTGTGTATTTTGAGATTGTGTCATTCAATGTCCTCCAAAATAAGGATCGTTATTAGCATCTTCAGTATTTTCTTTAATTTCAAATATATATTTTTACTACTTCAACACATTTTTCAATACTGTCTAAAACTGGCCGGGGGTTTCATCTATTGACAAATCGGAATTACAAATCATTACTTGAATTCCACATGTTGAACTGATCTGCCAGTGCTAATGACGTCATAATCAGATGATAGTTTTTCTGGAGATGGGGCCTTGAGGTTCAAAGTGTATCTCAATATGTTGTGATATACAAAGCTGTATTGCA